GCAGGCAGCCAGTAATACTTAATGCGCAGTGTGTTGATTGCGATCAAGCTACACTGTCTTGCAAAGTAATACTATTGTACTTTGTTTTACGTCAGAGAAAGTACAGCTTCAAGATCGACATTTTTCTCAACACGTACGCTTGTATGCAAATTTTACTATTGCTGTATTACTTTGAACAAGTGATCCATTTGGTGTTTAAAGTTTCTTTCATAGCAAATATTACAAAGCTATTCATTTAATAATTTTTCCAGTTGGCATTCAGTATGCTTTCGGCCTTGTATTTGTTTTATTTTCCATTCTATTACGCTTTAAAGCTATTAATTTTAAAAGTAGTTTCATAGACGTAATTTAATTTACATCAAATATTTTTCATTTTACACATTTAAGTTTTAACACTCACAGAAAAAATGCTGGAGATACTCAACAAGAATAAGAGTATTTTGCATAAATTTGTTGGGTTAATTCCAAAGGTTTGAAGATTAGAAGTTTTATAACGTTTCGGAGGACTTCTTAACCTAAAAGAGTAAGAATGACAAAGAAGACGCCTAAGCTCACTGGATAACAACAGACCAGAAAAACAAGTGGTCTACTATCATGAACACAGGATTACCTTCGCCATTTTTATTCCTGTAGCTGAAGAAGAAGTTTATTTCCAAACTTCGAAACTAGTCCATCAAATTTATGCAAATTACATTTATTCTTGTTGTCTTATTATCTTCAGTATTTATAGTTCCTATATAGCAGAGAAGACGTTTTTTAAAAGTTAAAATTGTTTACTTAATTTGAAACATCAGTTTTTTGGACTTTCATCAGCGGTTAAAGAACTAATCTGATACAAGTTAGTTAATAGGAAAAATTAAAAGATACGCATAGCATAGAATATGTGCAATAAATTCTGAGATAAAGAAATTTAACTAAAGCAAAAGGAAACAAAATTCAATTGTAGGAACAATTGTAAATTCAATTGTTCAATTGAATTGAATTAAAATTCAATTGTTCAACAATTGTAGGAAATTTGTTATTCTTGCGTAAATATATCAAATATTGCATAACATCCTTAACACATAAAAAACGGGAGAGCATTTGTTGTTATTACTCAAAATGGCACTTTAGACCTTGTCAATGCCAACGAATATCTGAAGTTTCTTTTTTTTTTAGTCCAAAGGGATTTGAATCCCGAAGGACTATTAGTTTCGTTTTGGCATTTTGCGTCGGACTCATAAATGTCGGTTCACTTTTCAAACTGTTGCCACAAATTTAGAGTCCGGCATTATTAAGAATTAAATATGAAAAACTGCATAAAATGTATGTAATTTCTCGTATTGTGATAATACAAGGTACATAGAGTCTCGATTTTGAATAAGTAATCTCCACGAATATGAGCATGTGGAAGACCAAATTGAAATTTGAAATTTGTTTTATATCGAGTTCCTATTTTTAAACTTTGACGAATTTTGATAACAAACTCAAGGATTTAAAGCGAGCATGCTAACGTTGTGCAGAAAAACATTTTACTCAGCGCGTGGCTCTTACGGAAATTCTAAAGATAGCTCGTTTTAAAACTATTGCGATTGCTGTTGCACTGGATCTATGGTTTAAGTGCGAGGACAGATAAATAAAGAAAGGTAACACACAAATGTTAAAAAACCCCTTTTGACGTATTTAAAATCTGAAACATTTCAGATTTTGTTTATTTTTTTATTTATTTTTTTTTTGATGAGTAGGATAATCAGGAGTCTATTTTCACTGTGATAAATTATTAAGTTTTCTGTACAATAAGTAAGCATAGCAGTTCATTAAATACCACATGATTCAAAAATGTGAAAACGTTGAGTGTAAGACGAGGAATATCGCATTCTTTTTATTAAAATTAGCAAATGCATATAAATCCACTGTCACATTGAGAACCACACAAAGACTTTCTAGTGCTTTACACGCATCTTTAACTCGTATCTACAGCTACTAATTGGAAATTTGAAAAAAATTCGAAACAGCAGTGCTCTTGAATAAGATTGTTAATAAGGTGTTATATTGCACTAATGCAGCATATTACACATATTAAATATAATATTTAGTTTGTTTTTAATAACGTGCATTGCATAAAACCATATGTTAATAGGCAGACATTCAGAATAACAAGAATCTAAGTTAAAATAGAATTTCATAGAACAAGCATAAATGTTTTACACATTCTGCAATTCCAAAGTTATATTCTTTGTTCTCAATCAAAAATAGTTTAATGCATAAATACTAATTATGCGACAGAACATACTCCAACATCACTCTGATTAAAATCAAAATTTTGTTGTGGAAAGCTAATTTTTACAACTGTACATTTTATTTAAGGATTCATTTCCACGCATTAGTAAATAAGTAAGCGTTTATGCTTAATAAGCTTTGTTGTACGCCAAAAAATAGCTAAAATGTCAAAAGCGTACAAATCCACACAACAGTTACATTTGACATTTCATCCAACATTTTCGTCAGATAGAATTGTTTTTTGTATGCTTTAAAATATATACACACAATTTATATATTAATTCGATACATGAATATTTATACTTAAATATTCCATCACTTTCTTTATTTTTAAAATTTAAAAAGGTTTATAATAAGTAATGAAATAAAGATTTCTTGATACAATCGATATGCGATTTTTTTAAAATCACAAGTGAAGTCAGTAAATCAGTAAATATATAACGAATATACAAATAGATAACGGTGAGCATCTCTTACACAATAATCGATATTACATACAAGACAAAATTTTGTAAATTTACAAATATGTTACACGGTTAAACATCGTAACATTTATGATAAATATGATAAATACAATCGTTTATTACACAAACAAGAACACGAATAAATTTCAGTTTACAACCTTTTCGAGGAGAAAGAAATACTCACTCAGTTTGAATACTTCTCGGTATTGTACATTTATTCTCCAGGCAAATATTTAACCAAATTTTACATTCTTTTGGACATGGATTAAAAATAAGGTAAATTAATTATTGAAAGGAATTACACAATGCAATCCCTAATTATCAAGAACTAGTTGCAAATAAAATGCACGTGGATTTCTTATGCTTATTATGGAACATATACATAAAACGTAGTATTAAAAATGTAACTTACACTAATTAATCTTTCTCCGCGTGACTATTTAAAGCTCAATAATTAGTTCTCCCTCCTACGAATGGTATGGTAGTTGGTAAAGACAATTGCCATAACACTAGGCCCCAGTGGCGTAGCTAGGGGGAGCAACGGGAGGACATCTGTCCTCAGGCGTAGCACCGAGAGAGCGCCAAATTGTAATTGAGAAATTGCAGAATGAAGTGTTTTCAATTCTTGGCACACAGAAGGGGGAGTAAAATCTTCAGTTGTCCCCGGGCGCTAAAACCTCTAGCTATGCCTTTGCTAGGCCCGTATCAGAATCTCAGAGAAATCATGAATGTTTTTAAAGGGTTAACTTAATGTCCTCGAGACGTAAGGAAAATTAAAATCCCTCGTACCAGAAATCGAGTGGTTAGTGTTAAGCAGTAAGAGGTACCAGAACCTAGATTCTAGATTCTGTCCTCCAAGTATGTTTTCAAATTGAGAGGTAACTTGGCTGCCACCTATAAAGGGTCGTACTGCTAACTACGAGGATTCATATTGGAGTTATAAGGTGCTCAACGCCTTAACCAACAACATATGCTGCTATATCGCTCTTAACCATAGTAAATTTGTGACCTGATATGACTCAGATCAGAATGCCAGCAACAGCAACAACAGTCATTGTTTCACCGCGTAATATTCTTCTATAAATGTTTACGAAATACTCTTCGTTACTGATCTCTTATGCTAGAGGTTTTAAAAAGAGAGACTTAGATGAAAATTCATCAAGAAAGCTTGATATAATGATATAAGCTTGCTATAATAGACGGCTAAGTATCTGCACCATATGGACAATAGGAAATTCATATTATTGGGTTGCCTTGAAGTTAGTTTTGGAAGTTGCGAAGTCTTTCCCTAAAATCAGCATCAATATAAAGCTGAATTTTGCTTAATTGTAAAATTCTGCTACTCAAATGACACCGCAGGTAATTATTATAAGTTTCAGGAATGAAAAATATTCCTCGTTGTTTATTTGGAAAACAATACAGCGAAAAGGAAATGCACTTAGAAAGGAAAATATTTTAATACAGTCAGAAACTGCAACCAACCTTTTCCCTGACCAATTTAAGCAATGAAATCTTTTTTGATTGCCCTAAATATGCAACCATTTTTGTTTCAAATAAAATAAAAAGATGAAAACGATTGCTGTTTATTCAGACCTTAATCTTAAACGCATAACTTTTTTTCTTTTTACTGCGCTGAAATTAAGTAAACTATATAATAAAATAACATTTGTTTCCATCTGAAATTAAATTAATAATTTTTGCTGACTTAAAATGAAAAACAAAGAGGAAGAATAATGATGGAGCACATAAAGACAAGTACTTTTATATACAGGGCGTAATTACATTTCCGTTGTGGTTTATAACCTAGATACTTTTATAATTTTGTAGGTCAATATGCATGTTGTACACATTCATCTCAAATAATTTCACACGTCTCCAAAATAATATATTTTATTACCCTATAAGGATGATGTTAATTTTTTAACCGTTAAAGTGTGAGTTAAAGTTCCTTTCCTGTCGATTCTTAACTTCAACTTACTACTTCCGGCCAACACGTAGTTTTAGAATCACTACTGAATACATAATGAGGAAGAGCGGTATTTAACCGCAAAGTTCTTCGGTCTTAGTGAGAGAGTTACCAGGTATCTTGTCTGCACGTGTCCGCCTGTTTAGGCTACTCTCTCATAAGCTATTATTACGCCCGGCCGTGCTTTAGGCTCTTGATAGCTTCGCAGTCTATTAACGTTAAGGGGCCAACTCTGTAAATCTTGTAGCTTCGGCTACATCTTTTAGTTTAGATTAGTTTAGTATTTTCTTAGTCTCTTAAGTTCAGCCCAAGGTCGGCTTTTTGTACACCAAGACGGAGTTGTTAAACTTAGTTGGAATAATAGATGGCTATTTTACCCTTCTATCTTTTTCTATCTTGTTGTTTCCTGGAACTCAAGCGATTATCCGCTTATCAGTTCTTAAGATTCTGCACGTTCAACAGTAACTCAGCATTACACTGTGAGGAATCTTACAACCTTTTTGTGGAATTTTACTTAATTCCAGGTTAAAACTACTTGCATAAATTAAAAGCAAAGGTATCTATTAATTATCCAAAAATCAAAATGGGGCAATCCGGATATTTGGAGCTTGAATAATTTTGCGAAAATAAGCAATTAAAATCCATTCCGTTTACCATATTCGCCTTGATTTGCCTGAATAGTAACGAATTTTACCATGTTGCCTTCTGCCAAGAGATAGCAGCTTTGCTATTGTGATAACAACATCATCCAGAAATTAAATGGATGCTTAGTACAAGTAAATAGCAATTATATGTAAATCTGACTAAATTTATTACATATATTAATGAGGCGAAAAATTGCATGATGTCTAAGAAATCCTCAATCCTTTATGGAAATTAATTATTGTTCAATGCTTAGCTTATTAAATATTATTAAGTCTCTAGCCAGTAATGTGCACAGTGATAGACAAAATTGTGAGTATACTTTAGCCTGTCAGGAAACTTGTTACACATGTTTGTGCTATTAAGTTTTAACTAATTTGTTGAATTAATGTCAACCATACCAGTTCATCAACAATTAAAAATGAAATAACTAAATACTCACATAAAGAGATATTTAGAAATATTAAATTTATTTAGAGGTTAATAAAAAAGTGTCAGTTTTAAGAAAAGTGCTTTTGCCTTCTCACCCTACCATTACTTTTTTCCTTTCTTCTCTTCGTTTCCCAAATTGCCTTAAAACATATTCATGTTTCATCAAAGCACCAAAATGCAATAACTTACAAAATTATATGCTTTATATTTACAGATTCGCAATATTTCAACACATGTGCATACATATTATTTATAAAAGTATTCATAAACACTGTATCCATAATGATACATCATAGTTACGTGTACCAAAGTTTCATAAAATAGTATTTATTATTTGCTTAAATTAAGCAATGCAATAATCTGCCTCTCAGCATTTTCCATCAGGTGTTTTAGTTGATATTACAAGCAACTTCTAATTAGTTGATGTATAGTTTACCATCCATTACAAATTAATAAAACTAGATATAATATGATCTCTTTTTATTCAGCCTTTTAAAATAAAGTCTGTAATAGCTTCCAAACAAGAGATCACCAAACACGTTCCTATTAACATGAGTCAGAAATTTAAAGGAAGGGTAAGATGTCTTTAAGATGTAAATTTTAAGGTAAAGAAATTTATAAACGCATGGAATATTTATGTGCATATTTGTTATTCTTTACTTCGGTTTTGGTTGACTTTTATCTTGATAAAGAGTATGATATATCATTTTCGAATAATGAAGAATACTTATTTAAGCCTGAACAAACATGAATAACGAAAGAATTATTCTGTAATTTTATAGCTTTTCTTATGACACAACTAACAGCAAACTGTATTTTACAGTAGCTCTGTTTCAAAGAGCACAATGAGTGAAAGATTGTATTAAAATCAGTGACATTAGGTCTAAATTTAAGAATAATTTATAGCTCATAATATAGTTTTTTGAAAACCAATCATTCATGTAATATTCAGCCATATAAAAACCAAAATAAAGTTTATCCTAACGAATATTTAAAAATAATATTCAACAGGTTAACAACCTTAGAATACTTTAGCTCCAGGTAAAATTTTATCAAATACTGTTGAAATCGAAATTAGGTGTTGGTTTTATTCACCTGAGTAATTAAATTTCATGCATATTGTGAGCTTGTGTTCAATTTTATTTAGCTGTGGCACTGATTTGTGATAAAATAATTAATTTCATAATTTATAAGATAGTGAAAAGTAGCTTAATGAGTGATTATTAAGTGTACGGCTCATTTTTAATAAATAAGCGTTATCTTCCCAAACTTGTAAATCTTGCAAAATGAAGTAGATTGAAACGTTCAGATTAGAAAAGTGGAAAGATTATTAATCACTCAGATTCTACGATCATCTTATTCTCTCATTTAAACAGTCTTTTTCTTAGCTGCGTCAGACTCTTTTGTCAATGGATTTTCTTTTAGTTATAGCGCCTAATTTCTCCATGGGCTAGCTGTTGAGAGTAAAGCTTAATTCCCTTTCCAGTTCTGCCGCACATTCTACGTGAGAGGAGTGTTCATCCCAGAATATTTTCTGGGATTTTCCCGTTGATTTAAAACGGCCGTTAAGACCAGTGATTGTCCGACCGTGTAGTACTGCAGTGGTTGTCATGAACTTGACATGCTGGCTGGCCCTGGAGCTACGTCTGCTCGAAATGCCGGACGTGGAAGGAGCCGACAGCAAAGGCGGACTGTCCGGTATCGCCTGTGAAACCTCCCCCATGCCTTTCAAACTGGGATCAGAGGATGAGTCCTTGGAGTAGAAGGAAGATTTTTCCCGTGCAGGGATTTCCAATGTAACGGAGCGGCATCTGCGGGATATAAAAGCACTGCATTTAGACATCTATAAACAACATTATCGGATAATATCTGAGACATCTATAAACAAATAAACAGATAAAAAGTAAACGATGAATGTGAACAGCACAGCCTATTCAACACATTAAAAGCAGCTTCATTTAATTACTGCATACAACAGCAAGGGTTTTACATAAAAGCAATTTTTTCCCCACAGCAGGTAATTCCATCTTTCTGGAATCATAAGCCACTGAAGGTAAGCCACTGAAACATAATAGTACTATGTAATAAAAGCATGGACGATTAAAATCACGGTTAATATTGGTAAGCCATTGAAACATAATAGTACTATGTAATAAAAGCATGGACGATTAAAATACGGTATATTGGAAGCCTTGAAAATAATAGTACTATTAATAAAAGCATGGACGATTAAAATCACGGTTAATATTGGTAAGCCATTGAAATATAATAGTACTATGTAATAAAAGCATGGACGATTAAAATCACGGTTAATATTGGTAAGCCATTGAAACATAATAGTACTATTTAATAAAAGCATGGACGATTAAAATCACGGTTTATATTGGTAATAAAATTATGCCACACATACACAGCGATTGTGAATGTCAAAAAATCCTCCAAAATTAACTTATTTCATAATATGTAAGTACTGGATAAATTTTAATGCTTGAATGATAGCTTATAATGTTAATTTGGTAAGAAAAGTGGCTACCGTATCATTTCGAAAGGTCTGGCCATCGACAATTCAGACATCTTTCTTGAGCATGCGGACCCTGAATTGTTGGCTTGTCGAGAAAATAATTTCGGTTTGTATAAATAGGTAGCGTTATGTTGGTTTCGTTAGTCTTCTGTCAAGCTTATTAAAAAAAATCCTGCATATTACATGATGAAATATTTAATCCAAACAATTTTGAAATTTCAGTAACTCCTACAGAACAATCCTGCCTCTAATCCTAAATATATAGCACAATAAACCTCCAATCAGTCATATATCTCACAAATATATACGGAGATCGAAAATGGACTTAGGAGTTGGTGTGCATGTAAATACAAATAGATCAAACCCAGAAAATAACTCTCCAAAATCGCTCCCAAGGAAAAATATCTTCCAAGCAATTACACGCAATTCGAATGGCAACATAATACTCAATCGTAACAATTACAAAAAATCATATTTTCTCAGATAGTCAATCCGCAATACTAGCTCTACAAAATCCCAAACACACATCTGAAGTAATCCAAGATATTTTAACAAAACTATCCAATATCTCAAATTCACCAAACATTTATTGGATAAAGGCTCAGTCGGAATTCTTGGTAACGAAGAAGCCGATTCAGGAGCCAAATCAGCTACTACCAACAATAATATCCCTTCAAGAAAAATCTCCTGGCCGAAATCATACCTCAAGAACTATCTATGTAAAATCAGTCTCCAAATGTGGGAAGAAGAATGGACAACAATAAATATAGGAAGACAATTACATCAAATAGCACCTCATGTAAATGATACATGTACAATGGTCAATGGTTATATAAACCGCTTTTTAACTGGACATGGGCCATTTCCCACATACTTCTTCAGATACAACATCTCAAACTCTGAGCAATGTGTATGTGGAAATAAAAGTGATCCAATCCATTATATTACTCAATGTCCCTTAACAAAGTCAACTCATATTAAATTGCCTAATTCAAATATCAATGCCTTCCTTCGTTTTGCAATTACCAAAAAACATTTAAAAAATAAAATAGAAAATACAATGAAATATCTATCTTCAATAGGCAAAAATTTATGTGAGCACTAAAGTAATTAATGTCAAAACTCATTTTTGAAGCTGCAATCATCTAAACATTTCTTATCAAATATCTTAACAACAAACCCTTGCAATATACTGATATAGTAAAAAAAAAAAAAAAAGGGAAAGAAGATACAGATTCATATAAACTTTATCTCAAGGAACTATTATGAACTGTTATAAATTATGACTGTAGACTACTATTATTATACCTATTATAACTTCTATAATCTATCTAATAGATATGATATCAAAATAGCGATATACTATTTTACTGTTATATTATGTGTTTATTATACTATTATTTTTTTTAATATTAACTTTAAAAATAAACCGAAGTGTAGTGGGACTATACCTACATTACTTATAGTAAACATTGGGTGTCCCACTACATTTCCACCTGAACCTGAACCTGTCAAGCTTATAGTTTTATTTCTTTTCAAATTTGGCACATGAAACTTTTAGGTTGCCATAGAAACAAATTCCGTATGTATTTTTACAACTGTAAGTTTACGGTCAATTTTAATGTGGGCTGCAAAAATAAACATTTTCCTCATATTTTTCTTTTATATTTTCATAAAGACAAGAAAGTGACTAAGGCTCACAAAGATTTATGTAAAGTTTCATAATGACAAGAAAGTGACTAAGGCTCACAAAGATTTATGTGAAGATTATATTTTGATTGCTTACCCGAAAGCGTGTGTCAGAACTTTTTAAAAAATTTTGTTCTGGAGATTATTCAGTTGAAGTTGTACGACGTTCTGGCCGATCTTCTGAAATTTACTATGATAAAATTAAGGCTATAATTAAATGGAATTGTCATACAACAGTGCGAGAGATTACAAAACGGCTAAATATGCCGCAAACAATAATTGAAAGTCACATAAGATGTCTTGGACTCGTTAAGAAGCTCAATATGTAAGTTTCATATGAATTGAAATAAATTCACTTAACACAACGAATCGATATTTGCGATAAGCATTTCAAGCGTAATGCTATTCATTCGTTATTGGAAGGAATTATCAATGGTGAAGAAAAATAGATAATTTGCAATAACATTAATCGAAAAAATTGTCATGGCCAAGCATGATAATTCAGCACAAATCATATAGAAATCTAAACTGCATCAGAAAACGATCTTGTTTCATTTTGGTGGGATTGGAAAGGTAGTGTGTATTCGAAACTGCTTATTCGCAACCAAACTTTCAACTCAGCTATTTACCATCAAGAACTTAGAAAAGGGGAGGAAGCAATCAAACAGAAAAGGCTAAAACTGACAAATCGCAAAGGAATCGTGTTCCACCACGACAATTCGAGGCCTCATACATTTAGCAATTCGTGCAAAATTATTGGAGCTTGGTTGAGAATTGTTGTCGTATCCCCCGTAATTCCGACCTTATTCCACCATGGAATAACCCCGTAATAACCCCGTAATTCCACCATGGAATTATTGTTTATTTCAAATGTTACAGATTTTCTTAAATGGTAAAACGTTTAGTAATAACGATGACCTCAAATCGCACTTGACTGAGGTTCTTGCTGATAAGGGCCTTAGGAGCGCGAAATCGTGAAGTTAGCAGAAAGATGGCAACAGTACATAAAACAGAATGGAATATATTTGTGACTGATTAAAGTTAATTTTTTGTGTAGAAAAGTTGAGTTTTATTTCACACCAAATCGCCGAAATTATTTTCCTGCCAACCCGATATATTCCTTGGACAAACTTACAGAAGAAAGTTCATTTATAATCTGAAAACTGTAGGAAGACTTAAAAATTCAACATAGGACGGGCAGTCTGCAAAATTACGCGCTCACTGTTGCGATTTCCAACCTAATTCTTCGTATTTCATAGAAACGTTTTCATGCACTTGCATTGTTTGGTTAGTAACGCTTGCGATTCTTTGTTAGTTTCGCAGTTATTGTCAACGATAATAGATACATGGTCATTGCAAAGGAAATTTCCCGGAACTGTTGATAATTTTCTGAATTACATGTATCGTGTTGATGTATAACAGTTTCACAGTTCTCCATTGGTTAGCTGGCTCTATGGGCATTATGCATCTATGGCTCCATGGGCTTTATACATCTATGCTTTTTGACTTTTTTATCCAGTCGTATTTCTATTATTCAATATAGTCTAAGACTTTTTCTTTCAGTATCTATTGAACTGTAATTTAACAATCTATATAAGATTCTTATCAAATATAATAGTGGGCTTTTTGTCTCTTTAATTAATGTTGAGAAATTAAAGCATCAGCAGAATGGATTAATAGTTTGTAATTCTATTATTAATAGAGAAAGAGCAAAAATGATGAATACTAATGCTACATTATATTTTAAAATCACTGTAGAGGGTATTTTAGCTTGTAGAGGCATTAGGATTTTTTTGGAAACAGGAGATGTGAAAAATGAGCAACACCTTCTCCGGGACTCGAACCACGGAACCTCTCGAATACGCGCCGAGCGTGCTGACCACTACACTATGAAGGCAGGATAAGAAGGCGGGAGAAATACCTTATAAGCTTTCTAATAGTTATTTTTAATTTTGAAACACTTCCTTTAAATTCTTGTTTTCTACCTAAAACTACCTGCGAGAATGAGCTTTCAGTATTGCGTTTTATGTAAATGAAGTAGAACCACTATTTATTGGGAAACTCGGTCACTTCGATAGAAGAGCTCCGAAGTTCTCAGTAGAGCGTGTTCAGTCTTCGGGCCACGTCGTTAAGGTTATCTTATTACGTACGGTGGTAGTCTGACGTGCCTGTTAGTATTCGTCTGTTAGGTGTAAGCATGGATCAACTCAGTTAGTTATCTTTGTACAGCTTCGACTACAGTTTAGCTAGCTAGAATTAGTTTAGTTTCTTATTCTCTATCTTACGTTAAAGCCCAGGTGGAGGTTTTCTTTTAAGTCTCAGAAGCGAGTGTTTCTTTGAGTGAATAAAACGGTATTTTAACCCTTCTTTGGACCTACATTTTATAATTATATTTTGTAGGAAGATCTGCGAATAGTCGCTGGATACTTCATAAGGTTCTGGTGCCAAGAACACGTATATTAATTAGATCTTTATATCACAAATACAGCAAACAAGGTTGGTCATCGATTTCACAATTCCAGATGGGGGCGGGGAAATCTATTGAATTGAAACTTTTACAGATCACTCTGTTAACGCAATTTGTTTTCATTTGTTATTTAT